CGTTTGAGGGGAAAACAAAGAGTTTTCCCCTCAAATGGCAGCCATTTGAGGGGAAAACTCTTTGTTTTCCCCTCAAATGGCGTGGCCCCGCCCAGCGTGTGACGTCACTTCCGGTGACATCCTGGCAGCGTGCGCGCGCTTCGCGCACGCGCGCACACTTCGCCAAGCAGCTCCCGGACCAAGCGGACGGTCCCCCGCCGGTAAGAAATTAGGAGTTGGCAACCCTAGCCATACATGAGTCGGGGGATGACTTTGGCCTTGAAGACTTTTAATGCAGCTGATATGAATTGATTGCCTCTGAAGTAGAAGAATCGAGAAATGGCAGAAACATTGATGTTGGACATGTTTATCACTGAATTATGCTGCACAGTCCCCAGGCGACCACCCCCAAATCTCCAGGTATTTCCCAACTCGGGAGTTAGCCACCCTAAGAAGAATGGTAGAATAAGACTTAGCCACCCTGAGAAGAATGGTAGAATAAGACTGGGAGTAAAAGTGGAGTAAAATTGTTCAGCCAAGACGGAAATCCAGAATAAAACCGAACGAAAGGCCCTGTTCTTTAAAGCAACAGCATAGGGATCTGTATTAGAGATGCAAATAATTTTTAAAAAATGAAACAATGAGAAATCCATACTAAATAGGCATCACAGAATCATAGAGTTGGAAGGGCCCTGCAGAGTCATCTAGTCCAACCCCCTGCACAAGGCAGGAAATTCACAAATACCCACAGATAGTGGATCCCTTAATCATACAGTACGCAACTCTCCAGAAATCGTAAAGGGTTAAAAAAGAAGGGAGAATGGCATGGACTGGAGTGAGCGACTTGAAAGAAAGGGCAGGAAATGAAGCTTGCCAACTCCAGGTTAGGAAATTCCTGGAGATTTTGGAGCAGGGGAGAGTATAACGCCAATGAGTCCACCCTCCGAAGCAGCCATTTTCTCTAGGGGGAGTGGTCTCTGAGAGCAATTGTAATATTGGGAGATCTCCAGTTGCCACCTGGAGGTTGGTAACCTTAAGATAAGGACGTGGCAATGAAATAGATCAGCCAGCAATGGAAAGCTTGTGCTCCAATGAATGGGTTTAGCAACCCAAATATTTTTTGTGCCATTTATTTATTTCCTTTCATCTTCATTTTCTTTCATTGCATCTTCATTGGTCGTTTCCGAAACTGACACAAAATAAAACCCAAGGGGAAAGGAGGCGGGGCTACAGAAGGCCTGCTGGGGGCGGAGTCGAAGGAGCGTGCCCGCCCCCCCAGAGGAAAAGGTTTCCTCATAGAGGTAGAAAATGTTCCATTATGCTCAACACTTCAGGGCAGCACGTAGGCTAGAGAAGGAACTCTTTTCCACCCTATTTTCACACCTCTGCCTTTGTGTCTCAAGAGCCAGAAATCCCTATTCCCCACCATCACCACCACGGTGTGATAGGTCTAAAATTTGTAGACAGCAATAGTTGCCCCGCATTGTTCAAAACTGAACCGGAAGTGTTTTTATAACCATAGCGCTGTCATCCCACTTCCCCTAGGGAAATGAAACTCCGTTGAGGGCAAAGAACAGAAATATATAATACTATGACAAATCCACAGTAGTGTCCCATTCACGGTTCAAGGAACAGAGGCCCCGCGAGCTGTTAAAAAAAAAAGTGCTCACGAGAAGAAGAAGAAGAAAAATTAGTAGTGCCTCAGGGCAACGAGGCCGGCTCTTTGCCCGTCACAAATATGGCGGGGAGGGCGGTTGGTGTTTAGTGTCGTCTCGCGAGAGCTCACTGGCTGAGGAACGCGAGGATGGAGGACGCTGTCGCTATGGCAACGCGGGATTTCGCCCCGGTAACGGCCAAGGTAATGCCCATCGATTACCATTTTGGGGCCAGGAAGGAATTTCCCTCCAGGATAGACTGGCTTAGGGATCCTGGAGGTTTTGTGCCTCCTCTTGGGCTTAGAGCAGGGGTCACCGGGGGTGGGTGGGAGGTAGCTGTGAATTTCCTGCATTGTGCAGGGGGGTGGACTAGATGACCTTTGGGGTACCTTCCAGCTCTATCCCTGCAGAATGATCGACAAGCTGCACAAGACCAGAGCTAAAGAACATTAGGCAGAAACAGTCATCCGCTGCTGTGGGAGGTGGGAGGGGGATTGAATGGAAGCTCCAGGTCCAGAGGCAGTGTTACCTTAAATAATCCAATTTCATTGCACTTTCCAATTGGATTTTACTGTGTGAACTGGCAAAATCCAGTTGGAAAGTGCATCCTTAAGATAAGGACGTGGCAATGAAATAGATCAGCCAGCAATGGAAAGCTTGTGCTCCAATGAATGGGTTTAGCAACCCAAATATTTTTTGTGCCATTTATTTATTTCCTTTCATCTTCATTTTCTTTCATTGCATCTTCATTGGTCGTTTCCGAAACTGACACAAAATAAAACCCAAGGGGAAAGGAGGCGGGGCTAGAGGAGGGCCTGCTGGGGGCGGAGTCGAAGGAGCGTGCCCGCCCCCCCAGAGGAAAAGGTTTGCTCATAGGGGTAGAAAATGTTCCATTATGCTCAACACTTCAGGGCAGCACGTAGGCTAGAGAAGGAACTCTTTTCCACCCTATTTTCACACCTCTGCCTTTGTGTCTCAAGAGCCAGAAATCCCTATTCCCCACCATCACCACCACGGTGTGATAGGTCTAAAATTTGTAGACAGCAATAGTTGCCCCGCATTGTTCAAAACTGAACCGGAAGTGTCTTCACAATCATAGCGCTGTCATCCCACTTCCCCTAGGGAAATGAAACTCCGTTGAGGGCAAAGAACAGAAATATATAATACTATGACAAATCCACAGTAGTGTCCCATTCACGGTTCAAGGAACAGAGGCCCCGCGAGCTGTTAAAAAAAAAAGTGCTCACGAGAAGAAGAAGAAGAAAAATTAGTAGTGCCTCAGGGCAACGAGGCCGGCTCTTTGCCCGTCACAAATATGGCGGGCGGCGGGCGGTTGGTGTTTAGTGTCGTCTCGCGAGAGCTCACTGGCTGAGGAACGCGAGGATGGAGGACGCTGTCGCTATGGCAACGCAGGATTTCCCCCCGGTAACGGCCAAGGTAATGCCCATCGATTACCATTTTGGGGCCAGGAAGGAATTTCCCTCCAGGATAGACTGGCTTAGGGATCCTGGAGGTTTTGTGCCTCCTCCTGGGCTTAGAGCAGGGGTCACCGGGGGTGGGTGGGAGGTAGCTGTGAATTTCCTGCATTGTGCAGGGGGGTGGACTAGATGACCTTTGGGATCCCTTCCAGCTCTATCCCTGCAGAATGATCGACAAGCTGCCAGGTTGCACAAGACCAGAGCTGAAGAGCATTAGGCAGAAACAGTCATCAGCTGCTGTGGGAGGGGGATTGAATGGAAGCTCCAAACAGGGGCAGTGTACCTTAAATAATCCACTTTCATTGCACTTTCCAATTGGATTCTACTGTGTGAACTGGCAAAATCCAGTTGGAAAGTGCATCTTTTTTAGTGTGTGTGATTGCAGCCTTTGAGTACCAATTGCTTTGTATGTGGACAAGAAAGAACAGGAAGTTATTGGTTCACTGTATTTATAACTCCTACTCTTAAGGCAATACATTTGAATACGGGAGCGGTAACAACAACAACAACAGTCAATGGAACCTCCGGGTTTAGAAGCAGTATATCTTTACTGATTGCCGCAGAGGCAAAGCACGTTGCGTGGAAGGGAACGGCAAGAAATGGCATGCATTGGTCTGTATTTTAACCCTGCTTTCCAGAAAGAGACAGGAAAAAGACTGAGTATTGCAGCCTCCAGGTCCAGAGGCAGTCTAGGTAGGGCTCTTTTTGTAGCAGGGACTCCTTTGCATATTAGGCGACACACCCCTAATGTAGCCAATCCTCCAAGAGCTTACAGAGCTCTTCTTACAGGGACTCAAATGCTGTCTTTCATCCAGTGCCGGATTTACACATAAACCAAATAAGCTACAGCTTAGGGCCTCGCAATCTGCTGGGGCCTCGAATAAAAACACAATATAAAAAATGATTTCAAATATTAAAAAGGCGTATATATTTTAAATTTTTCTGAGACCAGCTGATGTAATTTAAAACAGTAGGGGGCCTCTGGGTTTTGTATAGCTTAGGGCCTCAGCAAGTCTAAATCCGGCCCTGCTTTCATCCCATGGTCATAAGCAGGGCGGACTCCAGGCATTCAGCCTTGCCAATTCCATTGCCAGTCAGGTGACTATTGGATCGTTCCTAATCCTCTTTTTGTTGTCATTGACAGGACTGTTACTTTCTCACCTGGCTGGCAGAGGAGCTGAGGTTTACTAATCATGGCGGCCTCTCCTTCCATGGGCCACCTGGAGTCCTTGCAGACTTTAGCTAAGTCGGTGAACATCACAGTGTTGGAAGGACGCGATCTGGTAAGTGTTCCCTCTGGGTACTGGGACCGGACAGCCCCTTGATCAAATCCCGCAGGGCTCTGATCTGACGTTACCCTTTTGTGCTAAAAGAAAAACTTTTCCCACCTTCTTGCAAATCCTGCATTCAAAAAGTCAGATTTTGTAGCCCCTATGAGCCGCGGTGGCTCAGAGGTTAAGACGCTGAGCTGCAGACTGGAAGGCCGGTAGTTTGCCGGTTCGAGACCTGAGTGCCGTGTGATGGAGTGAGCTCCCGTCTCTGGCCCCAGCTCCTGCCAACCGAGCAGTTCGAAAGCAAGAAATTGCAAGTCGATAAATAGGTACCACTTCGGTGGGAAGGGAACAGCGTTTCCGTGCGCCTCGGCGTCTAGTCATGCCGGCCACATGACAACAGAAATGTCTTCGGACAGCGCTGGCTCGTTGGCTTGGAAACGGAGATGAGCACCGCCCCTGGAGTCGGATTCGACTGGCTTTCGAGCAAGGGAAACCTTTAATATTATCTTTATGAGCCGTGGAAATGGAACAAAGCTCAGGGGTAGAGCCTCTGCTCGGCATGCAGAAGGTCCCAGGTTCAATCCCCAGCACCAGTGTTCCCTCTAAGCTGAGTTAGTGTGAGCTAGCTCACAATTTTTTACCCTTTGGCTCACACATTTTTGTCTCAGCTCAGGAAGGGATGGCTCCAGAGCAAACGTATTTATGCAGCAGCCAAATTGCTGGCTCACAACTTTAATGCCAGTAGCTCACAAGGTAGAATTCTTGCTCACAAGACTCCACAGCTTAGAGGGAACATTGCCCAGCACCCTCTAGTTAAAAGGACCAGGCAGCAGGTGATGGGAAAGACCTCAGCCTGAGATCCTGGAGAGCTGTCAAGAGGGGCCGCGGCTCAGGGGTAGAGCATCTGCTTGGCATGCAGAAGGTCCCAGGTTCAATCCCCGGCATCTCCAGTTAAAAGGACCAGGCAGTAGGTGATGGGAAAGGCATCTGTCTGAGACCCTGGCGAGCCACTGCCAGTCTGAGTAGACAACACAGGTCTTGGGGAATCAGTGGTCCTTTGGGCAGGTATCTGAAGAATGAAAGTTCATACCCTGCCCAAATTTTGTTAGTCTTTAATAGGGCTTTTTTTCTGGGGGAATGCGCCGGGACGGAGTTCCCAAACCGACAACATTCTTTTTAAAATGTTTAAAAGTTCATGAGTCTCAGGTAGACCGATTGAGAACTTCGTTTCCCTCCTGAGAGTTCCGGCACCTCTTTTTCTAAAAAAACAAAAAGCTCTGGTCTTTAAGGTGATCCTGGATTCTTGCTCTTTTCTACTGCTACTGACAGACAAGCACAGCTACCTGTCCTGATGTATCTCCATGGAAGGCAACCTAATGCATTAGGTAAAAGGTAAAGGTTCCCTTGCTCGAAAGCCAGTCGAGTCTGACTCTAGGGTTGCAGTGCTCATCTCCATTTCAAAGCCAAAGAGCCAGCGCTGTCCGAAGATGTTTCCGTGGTCATGTGGCCGGCATGACTCAACACCAAGGCGCACGGAACGCTGTTACCTTCCCACCGAAGTGGTACCTATTGATCTACTTGCTAGGTTGGCAGGAGCTGGGGCCAGAGACGGGAGCTCACCCCGTCATGCGGCACACTCGGGGTCTCGAACTGCTGAACTACCGACCTTCCACAGCCTGCAGTTCAGCGTCTTAACCACTTGAGCCACCGCAGCTCCTAACCTATTGCATTAGTTATTGAGTATCTCATGTTGTCGATTGTCCTGACTCACTATGTGTAATCCACCATGAGTCCATGTGAGAAAGAGGGACTATAAATAACGCAAAAATAAATAAGATGGTTTGCTAATTCAAGAACTATTCACGTGGAGAGACCCAGCGATCTAATTCTTGGACTGGCCCTTGCCGATTGTCCCTTTGACAGAAAGGCGTCAAAGGGGACACCCCGGTGACCTTCGTGCGGGTGGAGTACAACTCCCTCATCCTCGGGGACTCTCCGAAAGTGGACGTCTCTTCGGACGGGAGCGTGACCTACAATTTCTCCACCTCCTTCGACATCCACCCTGAAGGGCCGCACGTGCTGGACGATCTCGCCCACAAGCCCTTGCTACGTGAGTAAGCGGGTCTCCCCTCCCCCCGTTTAAGCGGGTTTTCTCGAGGAACTGCCACCAGTGTTCCCTCTAAGCTGAGTTAGTGTGAGCTAGCTCACCGTTTTTTAGCCTCCAGCTCACACGTTGTTGTCTTAGCTCAAGGAGGAGGGCTCCAGAGCGAACTAATTTATGCAGCAGCCAAGTCACTCGCTCACAACTTTAATGCCCGTCGCTCGCAAAGGAGAATTTTTGCTCACAAGATTCCACAGCTTAGAGGGAACAGGTCTGCCACTGAAGCAGTAGGAAGAGAAAAGAGGTTACCCTCTGGAAGGATAAAGGTTACGGCAAGCTCGGGTGGACAATGGGGATGGAGGGCCTTGGTGGAGGAACGGATTTCTTCACTCTTGCTCCGGTTTAAAGGGGGTAGGCGGGATCTCCGGTTTGACAGGCACGGGGCTGAGCCACTGCCTGCCAAGATTCTTAGAGCAGCAACCAAAGAGGAACACACAGTGTAGGTATACAACGGAATAGCAATCTGTGTGGAAAAGACGCAAACACTCGTTCAGTAATGACCAAAGTATTAATACAAATACAACCATAGAAGCACAATATTAAAGCGGAAGAGTTTCTTCTTGAGGTGAAGATGTATGAAGAAAATTATAAAACGAAGAATCCGGATATTAAGAACTCCGTTTCGAAGAACTTCCTCAGTAACTGATACACAGTGTATCTTCAGGTAGATTATATTTGAATTAATACTTTGGTCATTATTGAACTAGTGTTAGTGTCTTTTTGACGCAGATTGAGATTCTTAGAGCAGCCAGTTCCAGGTGGGTTGGGTTTGGCTGCCAGACTTTTGGAATAAACGCTGAACAGAGTTACATACAGGGCTATTTTTGGGCAGGAACGCACAGGAATGGAGTTCCGGCTGGCTCCCGAGTTGACCACGCCCAGCAGGAACTCATTAGCGTAATAGGCCATGCCCAACAGCAGAAACTCATTAGGATTGGCTGCATTAGGGATGTGTGGCCTAACATGTAAAGGAGTTCCTGCTACGAAAAAAGCCCTGGGTTTGGACAACAAACAAGGTAAACGGCATAAGAAGCAAAAGGTGGGTGTGGCTGGATGAGCACACTTCTGGTAACATGGGGGGTATGGCCTAGTATGCTAATGAGCTGTGTTGTCAGGGGTGTGGCCTAATATGCTAATGGGTTTCTGCTGTTGGGTGTGGTCTATTATGCTAATGCGTTCCTGCTGGGCTTTTTCTACAAAAAAGGCCCTGGTTACATACAAACGAGAGCAGTTCCAATGGTCTAGGGCAGAGGTGTCAAACTCATTTGTTACAAGGGCTGGATCTGAAGTAAATGTCACCTTGTTGGGCCGGGCCATGTGTGCCATAAAATGTAATGCTAGGTACCAGAGATATAAACTTCATAAAGGACACCGGCAAAACCAATTAACGATATTATCTTTTAGTCAAAATACAGACAAAAGCAATTGATTCCTAGCAGTGAAAGCAATTAATTTACTGGGGAACCCATGAAAGCCCCAATAAATGTATTTAATCATATGCAAGACAAGGGTTTTTTTTACAAGGGATACCATTAGGGGGGGGGGGTTCTTAAACT